CCCAGGCCTGACCCGCCGGCTTCGGCCCCCGCTCCCGCGCGTCTCAGATGGCGTCTCAGGCTGTCCCCGCGCTGGCGCGCCGCCTGGCCTCTTGGAGTCAGCAGGCTGGGTTTCCAGCATCGTTTGAACTCCGTTGTTCGGATCATGGAGCCAGTGACCGGTGGGGCCTTCTGTGGACTATCTCCTGTGACGCACACCTCAAGGGCTGCCTGCCTCAGCCAGGGTGCCTTGGCCTGTCCAGTGGCGGCCCTGAGCCTGTGCCCCTCAGGCCCCACGTCCAGACTGTGCCCACGGCCTGCTGGGGATGCTCCGGCAGCTGCTGGGCCGCTGTGGGTGAGGCTCTGTCCCCTGCCTCCACGTGGCCGGTGGGAGTTCCATGCTCCCACCGGGCCTCCCTGCCTGCACTTCCTTTGGGAGCAGATCCCGCTTGTCCCTGGGGGCCAGTGAGGTGGCCCCAGGTGCCAGCCATAGGGACACCAGCCCCTGCGGGGTGTGGGCCCTGTGGCTGGACTGGCGTTTCTGTGGTCCCGGTGCTCACGTTTTAAATGATGCTGCTTCTCCTTTTTTTTTTTTGGCTGATACATGAGAAACCTCAGGGCCTCTGGCGAAGCTGGTGTGGGGCCTCGTCCCCGCCTTCTGAAGTGGGTTAACCCTGACTGACCTCACGGGGGACGGAGGAATGCTCACAGGCCAGCCTGGAGGCCACGCGTCCCAGGTCCCAGGAGCCAGCCACGCTGCTCTGCGAGGTGAGGGCCCGAACGCATTAAACACCGTGCAACCCGTGTGAGGGGCTCCAGCTTCTGTGCCGGCCTGGGGGGCTGCCGGGGGCCACCAGTGGCCGAGAGAGGGACCCAGGCAGGGACCCACACCGGGGCCCAGCATGGTCTTGATGCTGCCCATCCGTGGCCCACACCGGCAGGGCCCAAAGGCAAGGCCACTGTCCCCTCTGCAGCCCCTCCGGTGTACACCACAGCCACTGCCGGCCTCTGCCTCGCGATGCCAGAACTGGCCACTCTCATGCCTGAGCTCCTCGGCCCCCAGGGCAGCACTGGCATGTCTCGAGGTACAGGTAGGCCCTGCTCCGTGCAGGGTGCACAGCCCTTGGGGTCAGATGCCTCCTGGAGCCTGACCGGCAGCAGCAGCTCTGGGGGCTCATGGTGCTGGGCAGCGGAGCCCAGGGCAGACCCCAGGAAGCAGGCTTAGGGGGGCTGTTAGCCCCAGGAGGCCTGAGCAGAGAAAGGTCATCTACACACGTGCATCTGGGTACACCCGTGGACGTCTACACATGGCCAGCTACAGCCGTGTGTGCCTGCTCACTGTGCCCCTCAGTCTGCCAGCTCGGTGGCACAGGGACAGGCTCCCAAGGACTCATCTCATGGCAATGAAGCTGCTCGAAAACCCCGTGCAAGCGGTCCTTTGTATTGGGGTCCTGTGTGGAACCCCGTCAATCACCAGGACCAGCTCCTCTGGCTTACAGCTGCAGCGCAGACAGACCTTGAGGCAGTGGGCTCTGGTCCTCCAGGGTGACCACCAGTGGGGACTCCCACCAGCTTCCCCGGAGATACCCACATGCACCCCAAAATGTCCTCTGAAGCCCTCCCTCAAAGACAGTGATGGGAGTTTGCTGAGACGCGCTGGCGCAGACGGTGGTGAGCCAGGGCTGAGGGCTTGTGGCCTGCTCGGGGGCACGGCCCAGGCCTGTCCGTGACCCCTCCACACGGCCCCCAGGGCTCCGCCGCGCAGGCCCCGGGCTGGCGGGGGTGCTGGTGCAGGACATGCGTGCTGTCTCCTCGCTTCTGTGGTTTCTGAGTGCCCCATCCTGCAAGGGGAACTCCGCCCCGCCGCCCGCCCCTGCGCTGGCTCAGCAGGACGTAGTCCGGTCAGACCTGGGGCAGGGGCTGGGACGAGCTCAGCGTGGAGGCTGCAGGCGTGGGGGTTGGGTGTCCTCGCCCTGGGAACGGAGTGGAGCCTGGGACAGGGCTCTGCCACGCCCTGGTCTGCGCAGCCCTGCAGACACCCAGCATGGCCTTGACTGGGTTGGGCTCTGGGCTGGGCGTGATCCCACCGATTGCTTAGGAAAGCAGCATGGGACAGAGACCCCACAGGGCAGGACTGGCTCTGGGGGAAGGGATGGACCGGCCGCCTGCACATACAGCACTGCGGGATGGGGGGACCCGCAGGAGCCAGGGTCAGCAGGGGCGTGAGACCCAACCAGGGAGGGTCACAGCGAGGCCAAGGAGGGCGTCTCCCGTTGCACCCGGGGCTGAGCCGTCCTGGCTGCTGGCTGGTGGGGACAGACAGAACCTTCTCTGCTGCTGCCACAGCCGCTGGGTCAAGGGGAGGGAGGCTGCGGCAGGCCTGCGAGCGTCTGGGTCTTACGCATGAGAAGAGGCTCTGGGCAGGAAGCAGCACCTACCTGGGCGCCTGGGCGCCCGGGCAGAGAGGCGGGAGTCGGCCTCCTGCCAAGAGCAGCCAGGTGGATCCTGGTCTGATTTGGGCCAAGAGGGCTCCATGGGCACCGAGGACATGACTGAGCCAGACCAGCTGGTGCCTGGGCAGGGGGCGGAGCAGAAGAAAAGTCTTGACACCAGGCTTTGGGTTTTAAACTTTTTAAAAAATACACTCTTTGGCTTCCTTTTATTTCTGGACGATTACAGGAAATGTGAACCACACAGGAACACGTCCCTGCCGGCCCCACCCTTGGGTGCCAGCTGACGCTCTCTGCATTGGGGGTTTCTCCACTTCCCCCTGCCACCTGGCCTTCTCTCGGGCCATCTGTCCGTCCTTCCGTCCGTGTGAGCAGAAGCCCTACTTGGAGGAGGTCGTGAGGCTGTTCTCGATGCAGAGGACGATGAAGGCGTTGTGGCAGCTTGCGGCTTTCTGCTCCAGCAGCTTGCCTGCCAGCAGCGAGGACGCCTGGCCTGTGGCTGTTGCGGCCTCTGTCCTCCACGTCTCACAGTAGCTCTCGGTCAGCCGGCGCCCACTGGGGTCCGAGCCGTGCCAGACACTCTTCTGGGGCCTGCAGGACACAGTGGGTGTCAGTCCTGCCTGGGCCCTGCTCCCAGGAGGAGCAGGCACCACCTCCCGCACCTCACCCCATGCAGCTGCGGCTGCTGCTGCTGCTTTTGGGGGCAAAGCCCCAGGAGCAGGCCCGGGACCCCTGGGGACTTCTCAGTGAGGGCGGGGCCGCATGGTAGTCTGACACCTAACCACTGTGTAAGAGCCTGAGAGCCCTCACTCGTGACCAGCAGAGGGATGACGGGTGTGGGCAACCTGGCAACTGGCGAGCAGCAGAGGTGCCCACCTGCCCCGATCCAGAGGTTCCGTGTGGGGCGATTTACAGGAGCCAGCGCGGCCGGGGCGTGCACTGACCAGCGGCCAGCCGGTAGCCGCCGGCCGGTGTCCGCGCAGGGGCGCAGCAGGCCGGCGAGGGGGTTTCCCACGCACCACCGGGGACGATGTCCTCACTGGCGCTCCCGCGGCAGACGCGCAGTGCGGCCTGGCTTATGTGACCCAGAGCCGGCGGCCGCTCACGGGGACACCTACCAGGTGGGGTGCTGCAAAACGTCTCTGCCGTCGAAGGAGAGGATGCGGGCGCCGGGCTTCAGCGGGGCCTCGGAGCCAGAGAACAAGGCCCCCCAGCTGGGGAACAGCTCCTCGTCCTGTGGGGGCGGGAGGGGGTGTCGTTTGTTCTGTCTCTGGTCACCTCCGCCGGAGCCCGGGCTGCCAGGCGCCTCGGACCCCGCGTCTCCCTGGGGTGCCCCCTCCCCAGGCACACTCCCCAGCCTGGGCCCCGGGGCGGAGCAGCTCTAGTGGTTCCGAAATGCGGGCGCAATGGAGCATGCGCAGTGGAGCATGCGGGAGCCCCCGGCGCGGGGCGTCGCCGACACTGCAGCAGGGGCAGCCCGAGGGGCGTTTCCCAGCGCGGGCGGGGCCGGGGTGCTGAGGGTCTCGTGACCTGAGGTGAGCCCCGAACACCAGGACCCGGCGGGGTGGCAGGGGTGCCGGGACGAGGCCACCGGGGGCTGTGTGGGTGCCTGGGGGAGGCTCGGGCAGGAGCTGCCCAGTGCCCCGACCCCCGCCCGGGGCCGCACCCACCCTGAGGTTGACGACGGGCACGTTGGCGCGGTCCGCCCGGCGCACGATGCTGTGCAGGTCCTGCAGGCGCGAGGACAGGAAGGCGCGGAAGGTCCCCGCCAGCCCCGCGGCCCGCGCCTGCTGGAAGCACTGGAGGTCGGCCCCGCGGACCGCGCAGGC